GTAATTTTTCAAGCATCTTCTCTACAAGCTACTCAAACTTCTGCAGGAGAATGTTATTGCCATTAAAATCAAGCAGCTGCTTTTTAAGGGACTAGAAATAAAACCTGAAATTAAATCCAGGAATAATCAAATCATCTGGTTTTGCAATCAATTCAAAACCAGAAGTTTTCTTGGAGAAATGTCTCTTTGAAGCATTGTCATGGTTATGGATTGACTCCTCTAATTCCCAGCACAGCTACAAATCACTTGCTGTTTGGGCAAGAAGACATGCACAACTGAGCTGGGCGCTGGGTTCCCATCAGCAGAGGTGTCCTGGTGGTGGATGGGTTGTCCTTCAGCCCAGTATTGTGTTCTCAAGCAGGGAAACGACAATGGGTGACAGGAAAATGTCCCAGGGTGCCATTGCTTGGTAGCTCTTCAGTTGCTGTTAACACACCTGTTTCGTTGTGCCGCAGCAAGAGGCTCCAGGTACAGCTTTCTCCTCCTGCCGTTCTTCCCACAAGCAGTAGGATGCTCCAGAAGCTGCTTTGCATCTGCTGTGTCATTTTCTCCTTGGTCTTTTTTTCAGACACTTGGGTTTTCTGATTAAAACGATCACAATGATGGGAAATGGTTTTGACAGAAGACTCAGCCCTTTCTGTTGCATGCTCTCAGCACTGAAGCAGAAACCCAAATATTTTCCAGATTACACACTCTTCATCTGCCTCCATTGTGGGTGCTGGAGAGATGCAAGAGAATTTCCCTAACAGCCAGTGGGAAACTTTGCTCTGGAGACAGTACTGTGAACTTTCTTCTTACCCACACAATAGAAAGGGAGTCTCCAAATTTGGCAGAAGTTGAATGATTCAGATTTTCAAGCCGCAGCTGCAAGCAGCTCAGTGTGGGACTCCATGGACCGTGCAGCCCTGATGCCTTACATCCCTCCTGGCTCCCATCCTTGCTTCAGCACATTTGCATCTCCTCTGTGGACTGCTGGTGTGCCAGGACTCCACCGCTCCTTGACCTGAATTTCCTGCCCTTCTGGGCTCTTCTTTTCTCTCTACTGCCTGTAATTAGGGGCAAATCTCAAACAACGAACCCATGTGGGAGTGGTAGTTAACGTGGCTCAGGCTGGCTGGGAAAGACCTCAGTAAAGGACTCCAATCCACAAGGACCAGGGCAGTGATACCTGAGGATGGGTGTGAGTCTTTGCCTTCTCAACTCAGTGTCCCTTGGTGTGTATCAGACCACGATCCCAAGATGCTCCAAGTCATGTGTTGCTTCTGTAAGTTTTGACCTGCGCATCCAAAGCCAGAGATGCCAGAAAAAACTCATGTTATCTTTTACAGGGGGGCAGAGCTGGGGGCTGGGTCTGCTCACATTTCCACAATGTGGATCAGATGCCAACATAACATTGTTCTTCTTCGCCAGTAGAGATGCATGGCCAGAGAAATTAGGCCAAAACATGGAGTTTTACTCACTTTGTCTCTTGAGAAATCTCACAAGCTGTCTGCTCCCATCTTGTACCTAGATGCCTAGAGGCATGCCCTGGCATCAAGGTTTCTTTCCATATACATCAATCCCAGGATGGAATTTTTCCTATTGGAAGACTGAGGTTCTTAATGTCTTCTTTACATCTGTCTTTAATAATCAGGCCAGTTATCCTCAGGGTACTCAGCCCCCTGAGTCTGGAAGGCAGGGATGGGGAGAAGAATAACCACTACCACTCAGTTCAGGAGGCAAAAGTTAGGGGCCTGCCGCTCCACCTGGAGTGTCACAAATCCATGGCGCCAGGTGGGATCCACCTGAGGGTACTGAGGGAGCTGCCAGAAGCGACTGCAAGCTGCTTTCCATCATTTAGCAGCAGTCATGGCCAACAGGGAAGGTCCCAGGCCACCAGAGGTTTGCCAGTGTGCCACCCACCTACAAGTGGGATCAGAAGGAGAATCCAGGGAACTACAGGCCTGTCAGCCTGACAGGTCACGGAGCCAATCATCAGCAGACACAGGACGACCAGCTGATCAAGCCAAGCCAGCATGGGTTCATGAAAGGTACGTCCTGCTTGACCAACCTGATCTCCTTCTACGATTGAGTGGTGGATTAGGAAAGGGCTGTGCGTGTGATCTGCCGAGACTTCAGCAAAGCCTTTGACTGTGTCCCACAGCATTCTCCTGGAGAAGCTGGCTTGTACAGGTACACTTTGTTGGGTGAAAAACTGGCTGGAGGGCTGGGCCCAGAGAATGGTGGTGAATGGAGTTAAATCCAGCTTGCAAATGGCTTCAAGTGCTGTTCCCCAGGAGTTGGTGTTGGGGCCTGCCCTGTTTAATTGATAACTTAGACATGGGGCTTGAGTGCATCCTCAATAAGTTTGCAGATGACACCAAGTTTGGAGGAAGTGTTAATCTGCCTGGGGTAGGAAGGCGCTTCAGAGAATTGTGGACTGGCTGGATGAATGGGCTGAGGACAATTGTATGAGCTTCAACAAGACCAAGTGCTGGGTCACACACTTTGGTCACAACACCCTCAGGCAATGCTATAGGCTTGGGGCAGAGTAGATGGAAGACTGTATAGAAGAAATGCACCTGGGGGTGTTGGTCAACACTCAATTGAATGTGAGCTAGCATTGTACTCAAATGGCTGAGGGCATCCTGATTTGTATCAGGAACAGGGCAGCCAGCAGGAGCAGGGAGGTGAGCATCCCCCTGTACTCAGCGCTGGTGAGACTGCACCCAGAGTACTGTGTTCAGTTTTGGGCCCCTCATTACAGGAAAGACATCAAAGCCCTGGAATGTGTCCACAGAAGGGCAACGAAGCCGATATGGAGTTTGGAGCACAAGCCTTATGAGGAGCAGCTGAAGGGATGAGGCTGGGTTTCAAAGTAAACCCACAAGGATGTGCTCGTTGATCTGTTGAGGAGGAGGAAGCTACTGTGTCATCTCGTGCAGTGGCAGTGAGCACACCAGCGTTCCCTCACTCCCTCATCGTGTGTGTGGTGGTGGGGAGAAGCTCTGCCAGAAACCAACCTGCTACAGGAGATTTGAGAGCTCCATTTCTGTCTCCACCTGCCTGGGAAGGAGTCGGCACTGTCCACGCCTTCGTGCCTAATCTCCTGAGCTAAGAGAACTGGGACACTTGTGGCTTTGGTGATACACTGGATAGCTTGTCCTGTGTTGTAAGGGATGAGAGGAATAGCTATGAGGCTGCTTACTGTTTCTGGGAGGACAGACTTACACTGGGTTCTTTGCAGGAGGCCTGGAAGGGAATGACCCAGGCCAAGATGACTGCTTACTGCAAGCACAACCAGATGTTATCCGAGGTGCTTGGCAAGATTAATGGGGAAGAATGAGAGGTTCTTAAGGTAAAGGGAATTAGGCTGGCAGATGACTGCACCATCTATGTGCAACCTCGTCTAAGCATATTTATATAAATCATGTGAAACTCAAATTAGAGTTTCATCCATCTGCTCTGCAGCAAGTCACTGTTCTGCTGGCAAAGCATGCCAAGAAAATGCTCTTAAATCTGTAAGATCAGCCTCTAGCTGAGGAAACTTCATACCCCAGAAACTTCATACCTCTTCATACCCCAGATCTGGTGGGGAGGCTGGGGTTTTGGGGCAGGTGAGTTTTCAAGCAGAAGAGCTGTGTGAATGTCCAGGTATTGCTCTTAGAGCTGCAGCAACTGGGGCAGAATGCAGGGGAGAAAAAGAGAAAGCAAGACTCAGCCGCATTCACATGGGTAACAGAGGTTTGTACTTACTGACCCAGTAACTATTTCTGAGCAGGATGGTGTCAGGTAGGTAGGAGGAGAGCAGGCATTCTTTGCTAACCATGCTGTCCTGCCCAGCTCTTTCTTCTCCTGAAGATATTCACTAAAGGCTGCAGTGCCCAAACACCGAGGTAGCCTTGTGCTGATTTAGCACATTGAAGACGGTAGGAAAATGCCCTTTGTTGTCTCTTCGCATCTTCCCATGTTTCCTACTTGTAACATCTGTCTCTTACTGGACTTCTTTATCCTTTCTTCCTCAGAGAAGCAGACAGTCGTTTGCTTTAGAGGCCAGTAAAGCGGTTGGGGGGAGCTTTTTGGCACCTGGAAGCATTGCACTACAGGCAGATGTGGCCACGCTTCTGTCTGCCCTCATGCATGGTCACCATCAGGGAGCGCGCTGCTTGTACAAGCATCCTGCTGGTTTCCAGGTCTGTGAGTCAAAGTTCTTGCGAAACTTGAGCAGTTCATACATCCTTAGGCACGGGAATGGTGGGAGGAAGGACACAAAGATGCAGACCATGCAAGGTCACAGGAGAACAGTGCCTTATGGAGACGAAGCCAAGTGACTCAGCAAGACGGATACTAGGCTTGCTTCCGAAGAAGAGAGATTTCTAGGAAGCAAATCTATCTGCACACATGGGTGGTCTCTGAAAGCGGTGACTCACTGAGCAATCTTTTGACCTTCTGCCTGGCTTTCTTGGCATTTGCTGCTTTTCCTGTCATTAAAAACAAGATCCCATCTTCCCCGTCTCCCTGAATTGAGGATTTCAGCAAACAGTTTGGAGACAAATAAGTGAAGATGACACAGCAGAGAAACAGTTGGTCAAGTCTGTAAGAGATAGAGCTAGATCTAAATACAGCACAGCCTTGTTGGTATGGAGAGCAGCATATGTGTCTCAGTGGTTGGATTGCTTTGTGTGCTCTGTTAGGTTTCCTTAACATTGAGTCTTCCTATTTCTTTCCTTTTTAGCAAAGCAGCAGCAGAGTCTCACCAAAAGTGTTTTCAGGCAGAAGAGGGGAAGGGCTCCAAGGAGGTGATAAAACCCTGTGTCCTCTTTGTATCAGCTGGCGGGTGGAGGCAGATGTGTCTGGATGGGATGGTAAGAAACCAGGAGGCAGAGGCCACACGTGCCTCACTAGAAGGAAGTCCCCTGTGCTAGAGAGTGGATGTTTACTGATGACTGGCGCATGCTCTTTGTGGGGAGGGGCAGGGAGCAGGGTAGGGGAAGTCCTGAGGGTTTGGCAGCAGATTTGCCAGCTCTTGACTTCATCCGCAGCGGGGCTGGGCCCTGTGGGATTGCTGGCTTCTCATCTGTCCTTGCAGGTGGAGCTATCTTGTGGGTGGGTGGCAGGGTGCAAATTGCTCCAGAGGGTTTGTGAAGCAGAGGGTTGAAACAGAACTGGGGGCTCTGCATGCCAAACTGCTCCAGGCTGGCTTTCCATCAGGAGACATGGATATAGCGAGAGCTGGTGAGTTGCTTTGATTATTCTTGGGAGATGCTCAGAAAGATACTGCCCCCGAGCACTTCACAGGCTGTTTGGCAGAGAGGAGAGTGCAAAGGCACTCAAGCCTGTGACTTGAACATGCTGCAGTGTCCCCAGACCGTAATGTACAGTATGTCTGTGAGTACCTGAGTAGTCCTGCACATCACAGTGATGCTGGCTACCTTGGGCTAGCACCACAGTTTGCTTTTAGCTGCTGCTTCTGCCTAGTGAAGACTGGGGTGAAGTTAATAGGAAATGAAGAGGTCAGCCTGCACTGGAAGAGTCAGAGACTGTTGGAGCCACCAGCAGAGAGTGGTCCTTAAATAAAGAGGCAAAGGACAGTGCCCGAGCTTCTCTGCCTGCATCCACAGAAAACAAGTGGGAAATGATGCTGTCTTGGTCATCTGCTTCTGAGCTCATTATTAATGCCAAGCTTGGAAGTTAAAAAAAAATCACCAACAACAAGATAACAATAAAACTGTAGTTCAAGAGCCTTGATCATCTAAAATAGAGATAGTTGAAGTGCTTGTGTAAGATGTCTTAAATGCCCTTTGGAAGCCTGGCCTGGCTGAGAACCAGGAAGTATTTATTTCCAAAAGGGCTGAGATTAGTTTTCTTTTAAGGAGTAAGAAACAGATATTATAAAACCGGAACCTTCTATGATACAAAACTGCTGCTAGCTTCATGGTTTTACTGAATTCATTTTTTATGAACGGAACTTTAATTTGATTTGCATCAGTTCTCCCCCACTTCCCCTGTGCAGTGCCAGCCTGTTTGTGTCTGGGAGGCTGGCAACACGCATCTCAAGTTCCAGCCAAGTATGTATTAAAGTGCAGTTGCAATTTGCTGAAAACCAGGTTTTAAGATGGAAACAAATAATCAGAAGCACACAAATTAGTGCATGTCTGACAACAGGTTGAGCTCTGTACAGACTTCTACAAAGTTGGTGACCACAGGATGAGAGTGATTAAATCCTGAAGCAGCAGCTGAATATTGGCTGTAGCAAGTCAGGTGGAATAAGTGTTGGGAAGGAGCAAATCTGGACAGGTTTCACAAGGGCTGCACTCCTAGAATTGAGATAAAACTGTTACATTTCAGGGACTTTGTGTAAAATGCTGCAGTTCAAGATTCAGTGCCTTGGCTGTGCTTGGTCAAGATGCATGAGCACTTGATGCATGCATGAGCACTTCCAGTGACGAGACAGCCATCATTTCTTGGGCAGTGGTGGGGCACCACCAATCCCATATAGTTTTCACCAGTGTAGAAGTGTTTTCTGTGGTTTCCTACTCTTGGCACTGGTTGTTTCTCACACTTCTAGGCTCAGATAGTGTGGGATCCCAGCCCTCCCATGCCCCTTGGTGGACAGCAGCTCACCTGGGTGGCTTTCCTGCAGCAATTGGTACCAAAGTGGTTAAACATTCTTCCTGTTGAGTGCCTGCTTCTTCCTGTGTGTGTGTAAGCAAGTGAGGCACAAAAGCAGCATAGATTGTTCTTCTGCACTCATGGTGATAAAAATTGCCTTGGAGACATTTGCACTACTGTACATTTTTAGGAGTGCCAGCAGGAAGACTGCTCAGAGAGGAGGAAACCCAGCCAATGTGGTGCCAGCACTGCCCCTTCCTCGGGTTCTCTTGGAGAGTAAATGCAGGGATGTTTTTGTGCCTATTTAGGCAGAGGGAAGGATCCTCTGCAGGAAAACCCCATCTGTTGGTCTCCAAGAGAGCCTTTGGCCGAATGGCTCAGCCTGCGCTGCACACCCCGAGTTTGGGCAGGGGCTTACAGGCCGCAGAATTGTGCCTGGACCTGTGAGAGTCCTTCACCCTGCCAGTGATGCTTCACTGTAATGGCCTGATTTTAGTCTAAAATAGTTTTTTTCTATTCCTTGATGCCACTTTATCTCAAAAAAATGTTTATCTTTAAAACATTTGCCGTTGAATTGGAATGCCAGAAAAACAATGTCCTTCTGTAAGCCAGAAAGAAACTAGCCCTATGTGTTTCCAATGCACCTTCTTCACCATCAAGTCTGAAAGAAAGCTTCTAGTGCTCCCAAATCTCCCAGTTGCCAGAACACCACAGATACTGGTGAGAAGGGGTTTGCAAGAGCACATCTCCATGATGTGCTTCCCTTGCACTGCTGTTTTCCAAAGATGCAGAAAATAAAGGTGTGAGACCACTGAGCTCAGCAGTGCTGTGGGGCCAGCAGGAGTTGCAGGCACTGTCCTTCTTCCAGCCAACTTCTGGTTTTGAGTAAGTGCTGTCCTTTTGGTCCTTGCACCACACTGTCCCTACTTTGAGAATGAGCTTTCATCTGAAAGGATGATGGCTGGGCCTGTGAGGAGTGATGTGTGGTGTGGTGTTAGGACTGCCCACCCTCTGTTGACATTGAAATGCCTAACCTCAGGTCAGTTTTGACGAGAAATAACATCTCTTCTTATCTTAGTTAGTTGAAAAGTTGGCTTCTCTCAGGTTTGCCTGTGCTTTTTGGTCCTAGCAGCAACACCGTTCCCTACCCCAAAGCAGGACTAAGCATCCAGCCTGTGACCAAGAGCTGCGCACAACTTCTGCCACTGCAAGAAAACAGTGCTGATATGGTGACCCTTGTTTGCATAACTGCTGCTTGCAGTTCCTGCTTGACATTTCAAGAGCGATTGTAAGAGCAGGGGATACGATGATGGGGCGCTGGGCAAAGTAGATTAATCTTATCCTTGTTGGCAGGGCACTAGGATGTGCAATGGGCTGTCCTCTCTCTTTTTGGAAGTCCCAGTTGATTCACACCAGGATCCACAAACAAGAAGCCCGACAGAGTTTCACCACGATTTGGGCATTCCTGGGACTGTCTGTGGCAATAGCAGATCTGGACAAAGGTGGAGCATTTGGCTTTTTGGGGTAGTACGTCCATCGCATCGCTGGGATGGGACCTGACTGGTGTTAACATCAGGAGGAGAAAGCAGGTAGGTCTGGGCAGGGGAGAGCAGCAGTGACTCTCCTGCAGCCCCTCTAAGCACTCCCCGCCTTGTGGCTGTTGCTGCTGCTGCATCTCAGAGTGCTTGAGAGCTGGCAATGATAGTGCTAACCCCAAAGGCTCAGCTTTCAACTGTCAGAAGCATCAGAAGCATGAGATTTGCAGCACAACCTTCTAAGAGTTTCTTTTGAAACAGAAAATGTTGGAGGGGTGGAGAAGGGTAATTCTTTGCATTTTACATCCTGAGCTTCTTTTACTTTATCTGCTGCTGCTGTTGCAGTGGTAGGAAGCACTGTGTTGGTTTTTTTTGTTTGTTTGTTTTTTAATTGGTTGGTTGGTTTTAATGTGAAAACAGATATTTGAGGGGTTGGTAAGCAGAAACTTGGCCACTGGAACTGACAGCCCTGGGCTGTGCCTGTCTGCAGCCATCAGATGCCTTGGTTTGACATCTGGTTGCTTTAGAGACAGATAGCAGAGCAGAGCACTTTAATCCTTAACCTAAGCTAAAAAAAAAAAAAAAAAAAAAAAAGAAAGAAAGAAATTAGAATGGAGAAAAATAAACAAAGTAGGCCATGACAACACAGTGTGAGCATCTGAGATCCGCTCCTAATTAACAGCAGTTCCCATCCCAGAAATCATACCGTTCAGCAGAAGTTAATCATCTTTGCTCATACATACAGTGCTCTTCAAGAGGGAATGAGTCACCCTCATTGAAATGTCTAATGTTATGAAATCCAGTGTGACTGATGTAATAGACCCAGCTAAGCTCTCCAAATTGGCTGGGAGCACCAACAGAAATGCTCAGCCTGTGTGTAAGTTGACTCCATTGAATTTTTTGTGTTTGCACCCTGGCAGAGTTTAGCCTTTAGAAATTAAAACAAACTCACAGGGAACGGCCAAAGAAGGAGTTGGGTGAACCTGTGACGAGGGACTGGTGGCAGAGGGACAAGTAGAGGCCAAGAGCACTGGTACCACCAAGCCTAGCGATCCTCCTGGCCTGGAGTTGTCCCCACTTTTGGGGCAGAATGGTCGCACTCGAATCCCAGCATTCTACATATCTAAGCATTCACAAGCCCGGGTATTTATGCTCCATTCTGTGGTTCAAAGAGGAATGTTGGCTGAATTCGGAGTTAAGAACCTGTCTTGGTATCAGCTGTTCCTTCTTAAATTAAGTACTGTTACCTGCAAATGTTTCCTTCGAGCACTGGGTGCCATTTGCTTGGCGTCCTTTGTTTAAATGTCACTGTATGAATTGCTGAAAGTAATTTAAATATGTAAAATCACGCTCCACAAATCTGAGTTTATTTTGAAATGCCAAGCCACACTTGTAGCTGATGCAACCAATAACAGCTCCGCCCAGCACCCTGAGATCCTGTCCCAGTTCTGTAATGTTTTGCATTTCCAATACCTTTCACTCCACAAATCTGGGCGCTGAGATTTCTTTTTCAGTGCACGACCACTTCGCCAATAGCTTTTACTTGACCTGAATACTCATGGTTTCCAAGGAAATAATGTTCCCCTTGGGAAATGCCACCTTCACCCAAGACTGTCCTTTCCTGACTTTCACAAGAAAAGCTTGGCTCTGCAGAAGTCGTAATTTCTCCAGCTCCTGGCAGTAGCCTACTCTGATGAGCTGTGCTCCCACCAGGGCTCATCCCTGCTGCCACCTGGCTTGTGGGGCTTTATGCTCATGCCTCCAAACGCCATCTCCCACAGGTCTCCTAACATAAGGTCCAAACTGCCTTCTAATCATGCAGCCTGCAACTCCCCAGAACATTTATTTTGCCACGTGCCCTCCCTGCTTCTTTCCATCCAGGGTTGAGTCTTGTTTCTGCTCCCCAGGACATGCTTAGGAATTGCCTGGTCACTTCTCTCTCTGCCTGCTCTTGCCTTCCTGTTCAGACCAGGAGTGAAGACGGTGACACAGACACAACACATCTGTGCAGTAATAGCAGGATCTGTTGCAGGATCTTGTTCTCCTTGGGTTTTGTGTCCCCAGGATGTGTGTCTCCCTTCTTGCAGCAGAGGTCAGCACGGTGTGTGGGTAAGGAGGAGGAGGGAACCCGCATCTCCTCTGGGATAGAAGGTTTGCTGTGCTGTCCCAGCTTGTCATCTGCTCTGCAAGACCAGATAAGCCCCCTTTCGAAACTCTTGCCCCTTTTTATGATATTTGTGGTCATTAAACCAAGGCAAGGAGAAAATGCTGGTCCACTGTGTAACTCTCAGATAGGAAATGTATGTTTCAAAGCCTATTCCTTTCTTCCAAGCCCATCTCTCGGTCTAATAAATGATGTGAGCTCTCTTACACCCTCTGCATGTCCTTGGGCCATCCCAGCGATACCAACTGCATGTGGAAACAGTTCTATGGGGAAAAAAGCCAGCTTAGTTGTGCCCATGCAGATGTGTGTGAGAGCAGCCCTTTTATAGCTGTGTGCATTGGAGAAGAGTGTGAAAGCAGGGGACAGCTACCACAGGACAGTTGAGTTCAGCATCCTGAGAAAAGGGTAAGGCAAAACCAACCCCGGATCAAAGCATCACAATTCTGGACTTCAGGAAAGCAACCTTTGGCCTCTTCAAGGATGTGTTTGGAAGAATCTGACGAGATATGGCCCTGGAAATAAGAAGAGGTCTGAGAGATGTAGTATATATTGGAGGGTGTATAGCAGAAGAAGGTAATGACAGTGCCTTCTAACAGGATACAGGCACTATGAAGCGAGTAATGAAGGAGAATTGGCTTTCCAATTACTAGAGACAGCTCAAGAAAAGTGCAATCCCTACCCAGAGGGATGTTGCTCACTTATCTGGTAATCCTTAAATGAGGGTGAGGAGGGGTGGATCCTGGCTCCACCCTTCCAGTCACTCAGGTACATTGCTTGCACCTCAGCTCCCCTTCTTAGCCACCCCTTCGTGCCTGGTGTTCGCCTGGCAATTAGGCTGCAGTGGGTCACCTCCTCCATGCTCAAGAATGATCTGTCCCTGTGTGCAGGGCATCGGGCACAGGTGGAAAATCTGTATGAGTGGACAAGGAACACTTAACGACATTCAAACATAAAAACAGCATCCGGGAGGTGGAAGCAGGGAGAGCTGACATGAAAGAAATGTAGGGAGATGTGGGGATGGAGATGGGAAAGTCAAAGTTCATCTGGAATTGAATGTGGTGATAAACCTGATGGGAAAGAAGTCTTCTTTGCTTCAGTCCTTACTGGCAAGACCAGCTTTTGGGAATCCTAAGAGCAGAGAAGAAGTCTACAGCAAGGAAGAGTGACCTTTTAGTGGGGAAGGATTCGGTCAGGGAACATCTAAATAAATTGGACATACACATGGCCACCGGCCCTGATAGGGTTCATCTATGGGAGCAGATGGGATGGGAGCACACTGTCACTGCAAAGCCATTCTTGATTATCTAAGAAAGGGCACGTGATTGGAGAGGGAAGGGGATTTCCTGAAAACTGGAAGAAAGCAAATGTTACTCGGAAAGGAAGATCCAGGGAACCACAGCAGGGTTGGCCTCACCTTGATGATTGAGATGGTGGAGCAAATAATCTTTGAAGCTGTTTTCAGCTATTTTTAAGGGCAAGAAAATGATTGGGAGTAGTCAGCCTGGATTTACAAATAGGAAGTTAGGCCTGACCAACCTGACAGCCTTCTGTAAGGCAACAACCAGCTTGGCAGGCAATGACTTTAGCCAGGCTTTTGATGCTGTCTCCCGTAACATCCTCACAGCCATGCTGATGGAGTGCACGGTGAGGTGAACCAAACAGGCTGAATGGCTGTACTTAGGGGGTTGTGGCTAGCAGCACAACGTCCTGATAGAGGCTAGTGGTGTGCTCTAGACGTTGATTCTGGGGTCAAGACTGTTGAAGATCTTTATTAACGACCTGGGTGGCAGGAATTGCACCAGATGGTACAAAACTGGGACAGCTGATCCTCCAGATGGTTGTGCTGCCATTCAGATGACCTTGACAGGCTGAAGAATGAACAGAGAGGAACTTCATGAAGTCCAACAAAGGGAAATTCAATGTCCTGCTTTTGGGAGGAACACCCTGTGCACCACTACATGGCCTGGGGGACCTTGTGGTCAACAAGTTGACCATGAGCCAACAATGCATTTGCACGGAGTTAGGAAGAGCATTGCCAGCAGGTTAAGAGAGAAAAAGGAAAAAAGTTTTGATTCCTCCTTTGTTACTGAGCGCTAATATGGCTGCACCATCTCAGCATCAAGAGGAAATCCTTGCCATATGGTGATGAAAACAGTGCTGTTGCACTGGTTCAGATGTGAGGGCTGCATGGATAGGAGAGGGCAGATGCAGGTTTAGGACCTGGTAAGGAAATGGATATGAACGTGCCAAACCAGAGCAAATTGCCATTGGTGATGCTGGTGGAAGCTGGACTTGCACCTTATGAGTGTCACAGCTATTTCTTGCCAATGCTTAGGTCAAGCTGTGTGATATTGCTGAGTATCCTTCTTCTAAGGATAGGAAAAGGGGAAGGGTCCTGCTCAGGACTGGGCCAGTGGCTTCTGAGACCTGGCCTGATTTCTTCTGTGCTGATCATGTTCTTGCAGGTCATATATTTGCATCCAAGAGCTGTGAGTGTGCTCACGAAGGTCAAACAGGCTGGACTAGTGACCAGAAGGGACAGCTGTTTTTTCTCACAGAATATTGCCTTTTGGATAAGTGCACTGAGGAAGGGAGAAGGACGGAAGTTCTCCCAAGAGACATTTTGCATTCAAACTATTATTATTTTTGTTTCCCTAAACTAATTTTATGGACTAAAAAAGAGCTGGATTCCCTGACCACCAGCATTAATGACATAGGGAGGAAAACAGAGAACTCATTTTCCAATGCTCTGAAAGGGGATCCAGCCCCTTGCTCATGAAAAACTTCTTGAAAATGGCTTCTTAGGTTTTGCTCAGTCTTGTTTATTCACAGCGAGGAGAAACAAACTCAGGAAATAAAGCATCTTCAGGGATCTCTTGCAAAGCTTTGCAAGGAGAAGACAGGCAGTGAGTCCTCAGCGAGGACAGGAGGCTGTGTCTGACCAACAGTAGGCACCAAAAACCATCCAAACCAGAACTACTATTTCACTGGAATGAAAGGCTGTGAAAAACAGTTGACTAACACCACACACATAGAAAACGGGCAGAACCACGCAGGCTTCTTCCACAGTATCTGTGCATCAAACAAGGATTTAATTGGAGAAGTGTAGGGTTTCATCCATAGGCAGAGGTGTGGTGCACCAGCACATTCCTGGGTGCAATTCCGATCTTCTTACAGTGTACATCCCCAATAGCTCTGCCAAAGCCACCAGGGCTGCTTTGGCTGCAACCCATCCAGGAGCACTCTGAGGAGCTGCGGCTGCCCAGCTGTGCCAGGAAAGAGGTCCTGCCTCAGTATTTGATCACTTTGCTTGAAATCAGACCCAGCAAGGCAGTGAGAAGGCAGCAGATCCCAAGTGCTGCTCAGCCAGTCTGGCCAAGTCAGGGTTTTCCCATACATCTGCTCCCCTTGCTCCAAACCTGCATCCCAGCAGCAGCCTGGGAGGGATGAGCAATCAAATCTCACCCCATCAGCAAGGGTGGGGAAAAGTTGGGGAAGCAAAGCTGGGAGCCCAAGCTCATTTACAGAAGTGCCTGGTGAGTGATGAAGCCACTTTCACAATTGTTTCCAGTGAAAAACCTGCACCAGGAAGCTTGCCTCTTAGCCTCCTTGAAAATAAATATTTCTCTGCAGGAAATTGCTTCTCGAAAACTGCCTGGATGCCTGGGAGAAACTGCCAAGGAACTGACGTGTGTGGAGGGTGGGTGGTCACGTATTCCTAGCCTGCAGAGCTGGGAGGTGATGGGGTGCAAATGGGAGAGAGGGGAGGCAGTCAGGGAGCACCACAGGGTCTTTTGGTTGTTCCTCTCTGCCTGCCTGCTAACTAAAAGCAGCCTTCTCCTATCACACAAAATGAGGAATGATTAGAAATGAGGCACAAAGATGTATATTAAATTATATACTGTGTATTTTGTACCCATCTGGTTGAATTTGAGGCTGCCCTACTGGCTGGAGGACTATTTCATCTTTCCTCCTTCCTCTGCTGGGTTTTATAGGAAGTCTTGGGGACATCCCAAGCTGTCATTTAGCCAGTTGTCCCCAAAAGCAGTGTGAAAAAAAGCTGGGCTAATTTCTCCTGGATAAATTAGATTTTGGCTCTGCAGACTGGATTTTTTTTATTATTTTATTTTTTGCACCCAGGCAGAAGCAAACCCTTTTCTGCAAATATGTGGAAGTTTCCTCAAACTGAAGCTGAAGCCAAACTCTTCCTGGGCGCCCAGAGAAAGGACAAGAAGCAATGAGAAAAAATTGAAGCTTGAAACATGACATTTAAGCATAAGAAAACACTTCTTCTCTTTTAGGGTAATCCAACATCATCAGGTTGCCCAGAGATGGTGTGGAGCCTCCATGCTCAGAGATATTGGTGTACTCAACTGGGACGAAGTCCTGCTGTAGAGAGGGACCTCCAGCCTCAGTCTGTATCTGCTAAGAGTCGCTTGTAGAAAACAGAAAAACCAAGTTCTTGGAGCCTTGTTTGTTGCTGTGGAAGCATTTAAAGGGAAAATAACATCCGCTTCTCCCGTAGGCTGCAGCACTCTGTACAGCTTTACTTTCCCATGGCAGTCGCCAAGCTTCTAGTTGTACCTGGGGGGACGTGCATGGTGGGCAGGGCAAGAACCAGCCCAAGGGGAAGGCTCCTACTCTCAGCCTCCATTGGAAGGCCAAAATCTGGGCACAGATTTTCATTGGAGCTCTTGAGGGGTCTTCTTAACCTTGAAGATGCTTTCCGGGTCTGATGAGGGGCAAAGATGACGACAGAAAGTCAGGTGGACGACAGGGATGGAGATCCACGGGGAATCAAATGTAATGTGCAAGGAGGAACACCAGTAGAGACTGCACAGTGTGAAGGCACCGGGAGGCTGCACGTGCTTTGCCTGCACCTCCTTTTAAACAGGAGGGGTTGGGTGCCTTCTTTCTGCTTGCTTTGCAGTGGGGCTGTGTGAGGAACAGGGAAATCTCTTCCTACTTCCAAGAGAGATGCCTTCAGATACACAGGTGCCGCTGCACAGGGATGGCTTTGCTGCAGGAAGCAGAGCACAGCATGTCCTCCCGCTTAGTGCTTGTGGGTGCCGTGCTTTAGCAGGCCAAAGTCACTTGACATTGCTCTAGTGGGTGTCTGAAGCTAATGAATCCAGATTAGGCAGTGCGGAGGCTGGGGAGCTCGATTTCTGCTGAATATGCATAAAGACAAATATGAATTCTAAAATTGTGAGGAAGTATTTCTACCCTGGCTCAGCGCTGATGTTGATAAAAAGAGTCACAAATTAGTACAGGAATAGGAAGAAAAATTGGGCTTTGTCTTTCTTGTTTGTTTGTTTGTTTTTTAACTGCTAAAACCGGGCATCTGTTTTTCTACTAGGAGTTAATTTCTTACATGCAATAGTGAAGCATGGAGTAAACTATCAACATGTGCCCTTCCCTGGCAGAATAACTCCCACCTCAATTAAGTAAATAGGAAGAGGAACTGAAGTTAAATTTAAAAAAAAAAAAAAATCCTTTGTATTGAAGAAAAATGAAGGTGATTAAATCAGGAATTTGGCACTGCAGGGAGGATGCCAGCATCAGATTAACCCTTCTGTCTGGTTTTCTAGCACCTGAGTGCCTGCAGAGGTAATGAGGATTCAACTAGCTCTACTCTACAGATGGGAAAACTGCAGTACAGAAAGCAGCAATTTCACTGAGCGTTACAGAGCAAAGCAGAAGTCACCCTGGTGATTCAGATGGCTTGTGAGCCAATTCCCAGCTGAAATACAGCCCACACAGTGCTGCTTGGAGCAGCTCATGGTTGAAGTGCCAAGGAGGAGCATCCTCTCTGGGTACTGATGGATGCGCGACCACAGGCAGGTGAGGGCACTTACTGAAAGGAGCCTAGTGGCTTTATGAATTGATATCTGGGCAGTGAATAATAGCTGGTACATGATATTAGATGTTGAAAGCAGCTGACTGAGCAGTGAGAAGATGAGCCCTTGGGAGATTTAGCAGCTACAGCCCAGAGCTGCTGGGGCAGAGCTGACTTAATGTATGAGACCAGAAGGAAAATCCTTTCACAGTGCAATGCTGTTGAAAAAGTGCATACAAAAAGTGCATACTAAAGAAAAGAAAAAGAAAGATGTATTTTTTGTTTTTCAGAGTAAGAATGAAATGTTACTTAACTGTCTAGCTTCTGACTGCAAGTACTTTTACTTTAGTCTTCAGATGCTTGGAAACCCTATCCCACACCTAAGCTGCATACCATCATAGACTCATAGATTCACTAATGTTGGAAAGGCCAGTATAATCATCTGGTCCAACTGCCAACCTATCTCTACCGTGCACGCTCATGTCCCTCAGTGCCGTATCTACATCCATCTTGAACACCTTCAGGGATGGCGACTTCACCACTTCTCTGGGCAGACTGCTCCAACATCTCACCACCCTTTGATAAGAAATTCTTCCTAATGTCCGAACGGAATCTCCTCTGGCATAACTTGAGGCCATTCCCTCTCATCCTATTGATGATTACATGGGAGAAGAGGCTGAACCCCACCTTACCACAAACCTCCCTTCAGGGAGCTTTAGGCAGCAATGAGGTCTCCGTTGAGCCTCAGCCGCTCCTCATAAGGCCTGTGCCAGAGCCCTCATCAGCTTCTTTGCCCTTCTCTGAACCCGCTCCAGAGCCTCAATGTCTCTCTTGTAGTGAGGGACCCAAACCTGAACACAGCACACGAGATGTGGCCCCACCAGAGCTGAGTACAGAGGGTGATACCTCCCTGCTCCTGCTGGCTGCACTGTTTATGATACAAGCCAGGATGCCATTGGCCTTCTCGGCCCCGGAAGGCCTCTCTAATTTTCCCTCTGGATGACGTCTTTGTGTTTCTCACAACTTGCCTAAGCCTTCTTCCAAAGGTCACATACTCTCTTTTTCCTGGAGTCTCAGTAAAAGTTCCCTGTTCATCCACACTGCTCATCTTCCCTACCAGCTCATCTTATGGCACAGGGGCACAGCCTGCTGCTATGCCTCTAAGACTTCCTTTTTGAGGGGTGTCCAGCCTTCCTGGACCCCTTTGCCCTTCAGGACTGAACACCAAGGGACCCTCCCTACCAGGGTCCTGAACAATTCAAGGTCTGCCCTCCAGAAGCCCAAGGCAGCATTTTTTTTGCTGACCCCTCTCCTGACCTCACCAAGAATTGGGAACTCTACCATTTTGTGGTCACTTTGCCCAAGAAAGCTTCCAACCTCCACATCTCTCAGCAGTCCTTCTCTGTTCCTCTGCTCTAGCAGAGCACCTCCCCTGGTGGGCTCTCTTACCAGCTGCCTCAGGAAGTTATCTGCCACACACTCTAGAAACCTCCTAGATTACTTCCTCTCTGCTGCATTGTATTTCCAGCAAACATCAGGTAAGCTGAAGTCCCCCATGACTACAAGCTGGCCATCACATGATATCTGTCAACGGATTCTGGAAGGCTTCATTTCTCTCTCCATCCTGGAAGACAGATGATATAAACTTCCCATCATGGTTGGGAAGTTTATAACAGACTCCCAGCAGAATGTAAGACTTTCTGGCCTTTCCCTTCATCCTTACCCTAAGGACTCAACATTACCATTCCCAGCACTGAGCTCTACAACACAGAAACACTCCCTAACATAGAGAGCCACACCACTGCCCCTCCTTCCTTGCCTATCCATTCTAAAGAGCTTATAGCCCTCCATTGCAGCAATGCAGTCATGAGAGTAGTCCTACCACGTTTCACTGATAGCATTTAACTCACAGTTTTCTTGGCACACAGTGGCTTCCAGCTCTTTCTGCTTGTTGCCCATACTGAATGCATTGGTGTAGATGCAATTCAGCTGGGCTGTCGGTCTCACACCATCCCTGACATTCTTGCCCCAGGCTCAATTTTAAAGTCCCTCTTGATAGCCTGCCCTCTTCTCCCCATGACCTCATTGCTGCAAGCCCAAACTAGCAGAAGTGGGCAGTAATTAGACGGCCACACCAGACCAGGGAGCTTCTGTGTGATGTTCCTGACCCAGGCCCCAGAGAGGCAGCAGACTGCCCTGTGGGTAGGAACTTGTCAGTACATCGAGCCCTCAGTTTCCCTTAGAAGGACTCAGCTATGACAATCATGTTTCCTTTGTTCCTGACAGAGACAGTCTTGAGGCATGGGAGGGGCTGACTCGCCCTAGACAGCCTTCTGCATGGACTTTCTTCAGCATCCTCACTTACCTGTCCTTCAAGTCCCAGAACCTCATATTTATTGTGCAAGGGCAGGGAAGGTGAGGTAGGCTGGGAGGGGTTCACCCAAAGCAGGAACCTGCCTCCACTCCTCCCTGCAGCTAGAGCCTTCAGACCCCTCACAGTGCTTTGGATACTGGACTCTGCATTACTCGTTTTAGGTTCCCTTTGTCGTGTTTCCCTGCAGGCATCTTCTGCAGAACCTTCTTCCCTTTCCTCTGACTTTGGCTACTCCCTTGGCACACATTGTGGCTGTCTTACCGCTGGAAGCAGTGCCCGTTGCAGGGCTACATCAAGCCTGGACAGAGTCTTAGTTAGGCATTTAACAATGCTGTTACCCCCTGTTTTGTCCTAACTCTTGGTGATGGTCTGTGTTTCTAAAATGTGACACAAAGACCCAGGTGGAAAGGAGCATGAGGGGCCTGAGCTACTGGTCGCATCAGCATCACAGGAGAGCGGAGCAAAGGTGGCCTGAACCCAGGATGTAAGTGTGGGTATCGAGTAGAAAGGCTGCTGGAGGAGAGTCCTACAGCAGGACAGTAACCAGGAAGATGCACACATCTGGAATTTTGGAAAATTATTGGAATTGGAAAATATTGGAAAATATTGGAAAACCCTGTCCAATTTTGGTGGTACAACATGAAGAAGGAAGCAACCTGCTTTTATCACTGTGTATTCTTGTTCTCAAACACTTGGGACTCTTTGGAGCTGAGCTGAATGCTGCTCATTTCTGGATGTGTGCTGAGCTTTGATCTCAGCAAAGCCGTGTGTGTGAATACCAGATAACATCACCAAAACACCAGAGCCTGCACCGCCATGCCTGAGCATCCTTATCCCAGACAGGTGCTTCTGATCCACCTCGTTTGTTTTTTGTCTGCGGAAAAGGAAACCAGACGTGGCATGCACTGTGCAGGAGATTGAAAGTGATGCCCACGGTTCTCTGCAGAGCAGAGGGCTCTTCCTCTGCATTAGTCCCCAGGCAGCAGGTGGCTGCGGGGAGGACGCAGGCGAGGGAAGGGACCTGTCTCGGCAGGATCGCCACTTTCCACTCTCTTCTTGGCCGCCCTGCATTTTGGAGCAGCTGACTCAAGAGGGCAGCAAGCCGACGGGCTGCCACCGGCTCCAGCGGCCAGCCCTGCCCCGCGGGACCCACCGACGGCCTCCACGTCCGGGAGGGCTGCGCGTCGGAGGAATTCGCCGAGATGACGAAGGCGGGAGGAGCCGGGGCTTCTGTGCTGCCCTCTCCCCAAGCCCCTGGGCTCCTAGCTGAGGAGGCAAGGGTTCTTTAATGCTGCCGGGTGAAATCTGGTCTCACCTCCGCAGATGACACCAGCCTGGAGCCTGTCCCGTCCTGAAACTTACGTGGTTGTGTTCGACCACGAAACGGAGGTGAGATCTCTCCCTCCTGCTGTCACCGTGGTTACAGCTGCCTTCCTCGCGCCTCCAGAGGGGAGCCGAGCAAGTTTCTGGGCACTGAGAACACGAAGGACGTGCAGCACAAAAGGGCTTCAGACCCTGATGAGCCTTCCTTGCACAGCACTTTGCTGTTCTTCATACGGATTGAAGGCGCTTTGTGAAACAAACGGAAAGGTCAGCTATTTTCACCACGGCTTGCATAAGAATCTCAACATCCTTTGCTGTAAGAGCTGCGCTGGTAACTTCCTACTGCAGCACTGAATCACAACGGCTTCCCACAGCAACCAGCAGTAAAAATAAACCGAGCAAGGGGAAGTGGCTGGCTTCAGCCGTTCTGCTGTCTGGGGCACACGCTTGAGTCAGGGAACAGCAACGCCAAAGACATTTATTCTGCCGATAGCGATGAAATCCGCAAACGGCTCCGAGCGCGGCCCGCCGAACCCACGCAGCCTTGCAGCGGGACGCTCAGCCCGCTTGAAGATAACCACGCGCTCGAGCGCCGCGTCGACTCTGCGTTTCCAGCAGGGGCTGGGCTTAAAAATTAGCCTAAAAGGAGACGGGCGCCACGAGCACCGCCCGCTTCGAGGCCCCTTCCCCAAATGGGCGCGGAGCTCCGCCAGCACCGCTTTTGTTACCGAGCGCCGCTCCGGCTCCGCAGCGCTCGGCGAGACCCCGCACCCCTTCCCGCGCTTTGCCCCCGCCCCCTCCCGCCGCACCTCATTGGTGCAGAGCGCTGGGGGCGTGGCCTCGCCAGGGCGAGGCGCGCCGGCCCCGCCCCCTCGCCCGCCCCCCGCGGCATGACACGCAGGGCCGGCGGCGAAGCTCCGCTTTAATTGAGGCCGCCGGGATGAGGCGCGCCGCGTAGGGCAGAGCGGGGCCGCTGTGCTCCGGGCCGCAGGCAGCGCGTACGCACGGCCGCGCGGAGCCCGGCACGGCGAGCCGCCGCGGCGGAAGGGAGCGGGGGGAGGGCTGCTGCTGAGCCCCATGAAAACGCAGGTCTGGGGAAGCTCCCCGCGGGCGCCCATGGCTGCGGCGATGCCGTGCAAGAGCGCCGAGTGGCTGCAGGAGGAGCTGGAGTCGGGCGGCGGCCGTTCGCTGTTGCTGCTCGACTGCCGCTCGCACGAGCTGTTCGAGAGCTCGCACATCGAGACGGCCATCAATCTGGCCATCCCCGGCCTGATGCTCCGCCGCCTCAAGAAGGGCAACCTGCCCATCCGCTCGATTATTCCCAACCACGAGGACAAGGAGCGCTTCGTCAAGCGCTGCAAGGCCGACACCGTATTGCTTTACGACGAGGCCACCGCCGACTGGCAGGACGCCGGGGCCGCCGGCTCCGTGCTGGGGCTGCTGCTCCAGAAGCTGCGCGACGACGGCTGCAAAGCCTACTACCTGAAAGGTGAGCTCTCCGCCGGCGGCTCTCGTCCCTTTCTCCCGACCCCGCTTCCATCCTCCGCACAAAATGGTGGGAGTTGGGATCGCCCCGCTCCCTCGTGCCC